AACTCCTGGCTCAAGTGATCCTCCCGCGTCAGCCTCCCGAGCAGCTGGGACTACAGGAGTGCGCCACGGCGCCCGGCACAGAAATGCTTTCACAAGTCAGCGAGAACAGCACGCTAGTGTGCTGGGCTCACAGTGGCCATTTTGGAGGCAGAGGCAGGGCGCGTGGGAGCAGAGGCGGGGGCCCCACCTCAGGGCGCCCGTCCCCACAGCCGCAGCAGGACGTCGGGCAGACGTGACCTGTTCCCCGACACCCCGTTCTCCTCTCCTTCTGGGACTAACAGGACACACGTGCCTCCTCCCGAAGTCTCACGCGCAGGCCAGCGAGGGCCACTGCAGGAGGGGCACTCAGCTGCTGGGCCCCGCCTGCCCCGGCTGTTGGAAAACCACGCTGCTGAGGCCACGCCGCACCAGCCGCACAGGGGCTCGGCTCGGCTCCCCGACAGTGGCCAGCCTCATGTGGACGTCTACGAGGGCGGGAAAAGGAAAGGCAGGCAGGAACCCGCTGTCCACGGGCAGCTGCAGCACCCACGACGCCAGGGGGCAGACGGCGCACACCAGAGCAGCCCTGACGGGCACAGGGCAGCTGCTTCTGAGGCGAAGAGGAGGGAGGCAAACCGCAGCACTAAGGCAGCGCGTCTCAAACGTGCTGTCCGAAAGCTGAGCGCCGAAGTGTTGGCGCAGGTGGGTCACGCCCACGGTCTTCACCCGGCCAGAATGAAGGCAGAGCCTCCGCCACACGCGCGCGGGGGCAGCACGGCATCCGCCGCCACAGCAGTGGCCTCTGCGGGGCCCCGCCGCGAGCTCCCGACGTCCCAGGAAACAAAAGCCTTTCTCTCCGAGACCCTCAGTGCAGCCGGCGTTTGCAGGATTTGCCAGAGATGCCGTTTCCCTTTCTGTCCACGGCGAGACGACCGAAGGCTCCACTCGCCTGCTGCTCCCCCGACACACGCACGCCACACACACGCCACACACACCCCCCCTACAATTTATACACTCATCATCTCCACACACACCCCACACAATTTATACATACACCACCCCCCCACACACACCACACCCCCACACCCCACATACACACACACAACACACCATACACACACGCACATAAAATTTCTATACACACCTCACACAAATTTATACAAATACACCACGCCCCCCACATACAGGTTTTATTATAAGTCTGTTATATGCATTATGAAATATATAAAAATAAGAACTATAATAAAAATGACAAGATAAAAAGTGAATGTAAATCCAAGTTCTAGTTTTCACCGTACCCCAGTGGGGCGCCCTGAGCATGCAGCTCCTGCAGGTCACCCAAGCCACATGCAGGACACTGGCCGCAAGCACTGGCCTTGAGGTCAGGCGAGCCCAGGCGACCGCACCAAGTGCCAGCCCTGCCTCGTCACAAGCCGCGGGCGTCTCGACTGCTCTGGGAGGGGAAGGAAGGAAGCCTGGTCGGACAGCGCACAGCCTCGGCGCGTGTGATCACAGAGTGCTGGGGACGCACTGGAATGGCGCTTTTACTCAAAATCTCCAAGCGGTCAGTGCCACGAAACAGTGGAAGCTTTCACAAGTTCAAAGAATATACCTTTTGGAATGTGACTGGGCAAAATGCAGCCCCAACGAAGGAGAAATGAACAGATGAAGGAAAGTCTCCTCTCCAGCGGCGGCGGCGTGTCCACGGGCAGGCGGTGGCTCTGGCGCTGCCTGGGCCAGAGGAGCAGGACCGGGCCGCCCGTCCACGGCAGCTGTCCCCTCGAGCCGCTGCTCAGATCGCCTCAGCCTCGGCGCACGGCTTCCCGCCCGCGGACGAGAGCCAGACGTGCCTCCAGGGCCCCTCCGGGAAGAATGGCCGAGACGCAGGGACCACCGGCGGCTGCTGCCGTCCGCTCTCACAGCAGCCCACACCCAGGGCTCGTCAGTTACAAGGGAGAGGACCCCGGGCTCCTGCCCCTGCCACCAGCCAGTCCGTCACAAACTCTGGAAGGGGAAAAGTCACGCAGCTTCCCGCTGATATTCACAAAGGCGGCCCTGGAAACCTCCTACAGTGTGGCCAGAGGAACTGGGGGGTTTATTTTCTTTAAACTTGTAAGGGCTCGAACTCTTCAGGCTACACGCAGAGGAACTGCTGCCGGCTCGGCGGGTTGACCAACAGACGAACACCCAAGTTGCGATGGTTGGACTATGACCCTCCTCGCTGCTCCGTACACATCCCCAGGGACAAGCTGCCTTTCGGTACACGCCTGAGTGAATGAGACTCACAAGCTGTGGGGGGCAATCCCACCCACGCTTCCTCCTGCAGATCAGACGGACCGAAGGCAGCCCTGAAAGACACCTGAAGCTGGAGTCACGGTCACGCCCAGACTGAGTTTTACGTTAAAAGATGTTCTGGGTGGCTTTTCTTCTCGTCACGAGCCAGAGAGACTTGCAGAACCAAAGAGCAGCAAAGAAACACGCAGCCACGATTCAGACGGGACTTCTCTAAGCAATGATGGGCCCTGACCTTGCCAAGAGAGACAGGCTGCTCTCCACGCGAGGTTGCCGATGCACTTCAGAGCGAGCCTTGGGGTCCCATTCCCAGTTTACTTCACTGGGACAGGACGGGGGCACACAGCACTGAAGCCCCGATATTCCAGACAGAATCCAAACCGGCTCTTGCTCTCCACCACCAGTTTCCTTTCAGAGGCTGGGGGATCCCACATCCTGGGGCTGAAACAACCAGCGCCAGCAAAAAGCCACTCACATCGAACTGCAGCTACAAGCCAGAGGCTCCGAGGGAGGCCCCATGCTGACTGCCCCCCAGGAACCTGGGCTGCCCTGCAGGGGGAGTCAGCACCGTGCGTCCCCCCAGACCTCCTGGACCCGGTGGGATTCGAGACCAGGCTGGGGAGGGAATGGAGTTGTACACAGAGCGAACTGCGTGGGCCTCCCAAGGAAGCAGAAGGAGAGGACGGTGGCTCCAGCACTGGCCCAACAGTTTCCCCAAAGGTACGGAGCATGCAGCGGGGACGAGGAGTCTGCTCCCTATTTCCCGTCTCGGCACCTGCCTGCCCGGACCCCAGGGCAGGACTTCAGACAGGCCTCCTGCGTGCACCACCCAGCTCGAGAGGGCAAGGGGAGGCGGCCGGGGGAGCGCAGCCCAGGGCAGGCGGGTCTCCCTGGCTGTGCCCAGACGGCAGGGGTCCGCGAGAGGGGCAGGGAGGGGCGGAGGGGGGGCAGGGGCCGAGCTCTCGCCTCACCTCACGCACATGTCTGCCTCGTACTTCTTCCCGTAGAGGATGCCCAGCAGAGACGGGTTCTTGTTTCCTCTGAAGTTCAGGGTGACGTCGTAGACAGCTGCGACTGCAGGGAGGAGACAGGAGCGGTGACGGCACCTGGGAGGGCGGGCGCCCCGGCCCGGGCAGGACACGCCAGGGCTTTTTACATGCGTGTTTTTTTCCAATTCTCTCTTTTAACTGGGATATTTAGTTGGTCTGCGCTTCACATATTTACTCATTGACATGGTGTGTGTTTCAGTCTCCAATCTGGCTGCTTGGATTTGTCCCCTCCTTTTATCTCTACTCCTTTCTGACTAATTAGATGCATTTATTGCTTTTTTCCTTTGTTAGGTTTTCTGTTATACATTTTTATTATTATTTTAATTGTTTCCTATTAGCTAGCATTTTACCAAAACATGATGCAAGAATCTTACAGCACAGAACTCCCCTCATTCGATTCTTTCTTTACCTGCTTCCGGTATCCTGTGTTGTACATGCAACGTACTTATTGGTTTTTTTAACAAATCGCTGCCCTCATTTTTTGGTTCATGCGGGAGCCCGGAGAGCAGTGGTGGTCCCGGCCCCGCGGTGACCGAGGCTCCTACCTGTCCCCCGGAGGCACTGGACCGCGGTGGTGAAGCCCTTGGTCCGCGGCAGCAGGTGGTACTTGAGCGGGGGCAGCCCCTTGGAGACGGCCACCTCCATGCTGACGCGGTGCTTGGTCTCCGTGAAGCGTGTCCCCTCACAGTACAGGAGAAACTGGGACACGGAACCCAGGGGGACAGAGGTGGCATAATTTGAGATGTTATTTTAGGGCTGCAACCTGCACTCCAGCCACATACGTTCACTCACACAGAACAGATTTCCAGACAGAAGTGACACATGAAGGTGGCTCTGGGCAGCAGCCCCCGGTCAAACAGCGGGAAACAGAAAAGTCTCTATCCATCTGTCGCAACATGAGTTAAAAAGGAGCACAGACACACGCAAAGCAGGGACGGGCAGGTGGCCGAGGTTGGCTGGAGGGCACCCCCATCCTGCCCCTCCCGGGCACCCTGCGGATGGCTCCGGGTCAGAGCCGGAGCTTGTGATCTATGGGGGAGCAGGTGGTCCGAGAGAAGCTTGCACATCTGCAGACCAGAAGGACGGGGAGCCCTGGCCCTGCTGGAGACAGCGTCCTGGGCGCTCGGGAGGTCCCCGTGGGGTTTCGTGATTAGTAATTTAGGCTGCAGGTGTGTCGGAAGGCTGCGAGTGTCTACGGCCGTACCACCCTGAAGGCGCCCGATCTCGTCTGACCTCGGGAGCTAAGCAGGGTCGGGCCTGGTTAGTACTTGGATGGGAGAAGGCTGCGAGTGACGTCTAAATTCAAACCCAACTGCCTTCCCTCAGCACAGACGCCTCGGGGATCACCCGATACACTTACCCACATGTACTCGGGGTAGTCGGACAAGCGCTTCAGCCCTTCGATGACAGTGTCCCGGTCTTCCTCCCATTTCCGCTTGCAGAACAC